ATGATCAGTTTTTCCTTCATAAATCTTTCTAACATCATTTCTTTTATTTCTTAATATAACTCTTTTTCTTGTTTTGTCATCTGATATTGATACAATAGAAATATCATTTTCATAATGAATTATATAATTATTATGATCAGCAGATGTAAAATATTTTTGATAATATGGAATACATGCTTGTGGATCATGAACATTTCTCTTTAATAATAAATTATATTTATGTGTTGTTGATGTAAAATAATTTTCAACATGAAATCCTGTTGGAAGAGTATCCATATCAATATGAAGTAATTTAGAGTTCATTACACTACCAGTCCAAACTTCTGTTGGGAATGGAACATTTTCAAATGTTTCAGAAGTACTTTGAATTTCTTGTACACTAAGAACTGCACCATCATATTTAATTCTAATTATATTCATTAATTCTTCCATTTGACCTTTTTCTTCTGCAACTTGAGATAAAGGTTTTCCTTTATAAACTTGTCCAATATTAGCTCCATATTTAAGAAGCATTTCCATTAAATCAGTATTTCCTTTCATAACAGCAGAATATAAAGGAAATATTCCATTATTTGTTTGATGATTAACATTTGCACCTGATTCACATAATAATTGAATTGATTTAAGATCCATTGAATTAGCACATACCATAGTTAAAGCAGTATCTCCTGATGAATTAGCAATATTAACAAAATTAGCATTATCTTCTTTATTTCCTTTTTGCAATAATAATTCAAGAATATCATAATAATCTTTTAAATTTTTATTTCTACATAAATAATGTAATGGTGTATTCATTCTTTCATTCTTTAAAGCACGATCAGCTCCATGGTCTATTAAAAGAACTATAAGTGACTTATCAATTTTTTCAGCAGTTAAAGCTTTATGTAAAGGAGAATATCTATTTTCATCACATGCATTTACATTAGCTCCTTTATTAATTAAAAATTCACATAAATTTTTATAATTTTTTTCACATGCATAATATAAAAATGTTCTTCCAGTAGCATCTTCATCATTAACACTATACTTTTTTATATATTTTGATATTTGTGTTTCAGCTTCTTTTTCACTCATTACTTTTACACCTTTTAATTTATCAACTATTTGTATTAATTTTTCTGATTTTGGTTTTATTGGACAATAAGCCATCCAGAAAAAGAATGATCCATCTACTAATGATGGTACTCCTGGACCAACTTTTAATGTAAATCCTGTTTCTGTTGCTTCAATATTTGAAGCATCAATTTTGTTAATTTGTGGATAAAGAACACACACCATAACCTTTGGAATACTAGCAAATGGTGTTGAAAAATTAGTATTATAAACACCATTAATACATGAACTTTTTTCTATTTTTCCACAACAAAAATGTTCTCCACGAGGAGGGAAATAATTTATAAGAGAATCATATTCTTTTAATAATCCTTTTGCTTGATGATATCCAGCTTCATACTTTTTAACTTTTTCTTTAAGATCTAATATTTCTTCTTCATATTGCATTTTCATACAATCATATTTTTCTTGGTCAACATAACTTGGTTGTTGTTGTAAAGGTGACATTGTATATGAGTAATCATTTGGGTCAAGAGACACAGAATTTTTCTCTTGATTAGACATAGGAGTTGTGATAATTTTTTTAAGTTCGTTTTCATTAGTCTTTTTTTGCAAATTACTTATTTTATATAATTATATATTTACTATACGACTTTAATTATTATTTAGTTTATTATTTTATTATCCTTTCCATAATTTCTTGTTTTTCTCTTTTTATGACTTAAGTCTCTAATTTAAAAAAACTCTATTTGATTCTTTTTTTTTGTATTTTTATTTCATGTTTTTAACTTAAATAGGTATTTTTTTTTCTCATAATTCCTGTTTCTTTAGTATCTCAATCAAACATTTTTTTATAATTAAAAAATTATTAAAAATGTATTATATTTATTCTGAACAACAAAACTAACATTAGTACACCCCTTTTATTCAATCTTTTACAACAAAAATTCCTTAACTATAATACCCTGCTTTTATCAGTTAATGTTTTAATTTATCCTTCTTAGACTTTGATTTTTATAAAACATTATTATTTTCCTTTTGAAATTTTTATACTTTTGTTTGAATAACACAAATATTTTAATTAATTTCTCGAATACAATTGTCCTACTTCGTCATTATAAATTTGGTTATATGATGGAAGTCATATATAGATATAATCTAAATAATATTTTTTTGTTTAACTCAAAATTGGTTGATGTTTTTTATGCTTATGGAGTTATTTATGAATAATGTAATAAAAAAGAACAAAATAAATAAGAAAATATCTTATTTCATTAATTATTATTTTAAAGACAGGCACTACTCTTAAAAAAACGTAGATTTTAGAGTTTCTTGAGTTAATTAATTATTTGGTTTTTAATAAATACTAAATGATTGTAGTATAGAAAATAAAATATAAAAAGGAAGAAGAATACAGTTTTAAAATAACTTAAAAATTAGATAATTAAGTGTTAATTGAATATTATCTTTTATATTAAGTTAATGAATTATTTTAATTTGATATTTGTATTTTAAATGATAATAAATTATTTCAATTCAGTGTTTCTTATTGTTATTTATTTTTATTCATTCTCAACTTCATATTATGATTAATTAAACATGAAAAATTCTTGTTCAATAACTTAATTTAGTATTATATATTCAATCAAAAATCAAATTAGAATAAAAATATGAATGTAATAAATGAAATACAATTTCATTATTTATTATTTAAAGATGTAAATTATTTTGATTATGAAATAAACAAAATAAATATAACATCATTTATTCAACTCTATATGATATATGAAAAAATGAGTAATGGTGTATTAACAATACTTTGAAACCAATAATCTATATAAATTAATAAGTTTTATAAAAAAATAATTCAATTCAAAAATATACTTTTTTATTGTTTTATTGTTGATGACATTCAACACCTCCCCTTTGTTGTTCATCATCATCGTCATCATCAGACATTTGTGTTTGTCTATATCCATTTTCTGAATGTTCTGTTGGAGCACCTGATGGAATTAAAGAACATACAGTACATTTTTCATCTTTCATTGGAATTGAAGACGGTTTTGGTAACAATTCTTTTAATTGTGAAATGTTTTTAGCGATTTCTTCTTTAGATGGAAGAACAACCTCAAAGCGGATATATAAATCACCATGCATTTCAGGATGATGCTTAACTGTAAATCCTTCATCATTAATTTTCATATAACTATTTGGTTGAATAATATCTTTGCCTTCAACATATAATACCCTTCCATCTAATTGTTTTACAGTAAATACAATACCTGTTAATGCTTCATTTAATGTAATTTTTTTATCCATAATTAAATCATTTCCTTTACGTCTAAATATTCTATGTTCTTTTGTTTGAACTACAAAAATAACATCTCCTGGAATAGTATTTGGTGCTTGATCAGACTCTCCTTCAAAAACAATTCTTTCATTATTTTTGGTTCCTGGTTGAACAATAATTTCAAGTATTTTTTCTTCTGAAACAATTTTCTTTCCATGACATGTTTTACATTTATCATTTTCTGGAATAATTTCTCCTTCTCCTTTACACATAGGACAAACTTGTTGACTTTGCATCATATACATTCCTTGTCTTGTGGTAATCATTACATACCCATTTCCTCCACATTTTGTACATTTTGTAGGTTGATTCCCTGATTTAGTTCCTTTTCCTTTACAAATCTTACAAATAACATCATGTGTAATCTTTCTTTTAAATGTTTTTCCATTATACAAATCCTCTAGATCACAGTTCAATGCTACTTGAATTGATTGTCCTTTTCTTGGTCCTGAAGGTCTTTTTGTACGTCCAAAAAATTGTGAAAGTATATCATCCATATCAAATTGTGACATTCCTCCTTTTTCAAGTCCTTCTTTTCCATATCTATCATAAATATCTCTTTTAGAACTATCAGAAAGAACAGCATAAGCTTCTGAAATTTCTTTAAATTTTTCTTCAGCAGCTTTGTTTCCTGGATTTTTATCAGGATGATACTTAATTGCAAGCTTTCTATATGCTTTTTTTAATTCTTCATCAGTTGCATTGGCAGCAACACCGAGGCAATTATAATAATCCATCTCCTTTGGCATTATATTAACAATTAACTGTCTTTACTTACTTTAGTTCAACCCTTTTATTCTCTATTTCAAGGTGATGTGTTTGTTGGGAGTCTCCACGTAATCCTTCATTTGTTTCCACGTCACTTAAACGTAAATACCTTATTGAGTAATATCAAGTCTAATATAATATTTTCCAAAAAGAATTAATTACGTTTTATATGACATTATTGGTTAAACGCCTATTAAAATGACAAAAAATAAAAAAAAGGAAAA